AGCGCCGTGCACCTCAGAGGCATTGCCTAGCCTGGGAGATGCAGGGGGGTTAAGCGGGCCACTGATAGTTTTGATAGGAAGCCGGGGAGAAGGCGCCCGGGAGCCAGGGGCCTGCCCTGTCTTGCCACCTGGAAGTAAACAAGCTCTGAGTTAGGTCAGCCACAGAGGACGGAGGAACCCGAGTATGTGGGCGGCTGTGACAGATGCCGTCCAGCATGATGTCAGCCAAATGCATGGTGGACGCTCTCTTCCTGCACGCTCACGGGGAGACCTCAGGTGCGGCAGCTGTCCCACGAGACGGCTGGCTGGACCGGCCCCAAGGTCCTTGCAAGTGCCAGCCTTCCTGTTCCAGCCCATCTCTGCCTGCACCTGCCAAGGGCCCACGAGTCTCCCAGCCCAGGGCACAGGGCTGCTCTGACCCTCTCTGCCTTCCCTACCTCAAGGCCACCCTCACACTCATTCACCGTTACCGACTGGGTCAATCCAGTCGGGTACCCAGCCTTTACATCCTAGTTTGGATCCTCAGCCTTACCAACCAGAAGCTCCTTGCTAGGGAGGTTTTCCTCATTTCCAGCATTTTGTGAACAAGGACTTCAGTTTTGCATCAAGACCAGAAGATCCATCATCCCTCAAATATATAAGTAACTCAGAAGTCAGTGGGAAGACACACAGCCTTGGGGATCCAGGTCCGATGACCTTGAACCTCCCAGTCCCACGGCTCTGGAATTTCAAAGCCTCTTTTTCCGAAGACATGTCCATTTCCAGTGGGCTCTCGGTCTCCTGATGTCCTGGCTTCCTCACCGCACAGATCCACGAACCCCAACTTGAAACCCAATGCCTCTTTGGAAGTCAACAAACCTGGAGTAGCATGCTGCTCCCAGTGACGTGTGTTTGGCATACTTCATGGAAGACTGGGGTGGAGGTGCTCCCTAGGAGGGGCCTTGTCGCTCTCTGTGCGCCCTTTTGCTGTGCTTCTTACCCTTTTGTCCCTCACCGAGGACAAAAATGTTCCTCTCCTTGTTTAGTGCACGGAAATTCTGCAGCCACTGCTCTAATGTGTCTTTGGAGCATCACTGTCCACTCAGGAGGCTTGTTAAAATACTCCTCTAAGTAAATATAGTGCTCTCCCTAATGGAATTCTAGGGAAGCCATATTTTCCTATTCTTGCACCCCTGTAATTTACAACCCCCTTGAAAACATGTGGCGAACGCTCGAAAAGATGGTTGCTTCTCAGACAGCTTCCTGGGTGTTGCAGAATAGGAAACACAGCTGCCGAATCAGATTATAAACCCCAGCATCTGGCAGCGGTTCGGAGCTTTCCTGCTGGTGCGTCCCCGGGTGTGTTCACCCAACCAGGTGCAAGATGGTACCCCAACGCACTTGACCCCAAAAGCCAGGCCATTCAAAGCAAGGTGTGGTGGCGGCGACGCTGGGGCTGAAACTCGGTGGGCAGGATGACAGTATCGGGCTTTCCAACAGGATGGTGACCCTCCTCTGGCTACGATGTGACAGTTACCTGGGCAGCACTGCTTTTTACAAGTCTCAGCTACAGGATGGCTGCTCTGAAGGCAGGGTGGTGGTGCCATTATTCCTCTGCTGAGGATTTCCTTTGGGGGTGGTTGTGGAAGAGACAATGTCTTCGCACGGAGGCATCCACCCTGGCTGACTGGATCCCCTCGGGGCCTGAGGCAGGCACCGCCATAACACCCGGCTGACCGTGGCCAGGAGTGAAGGCCTCCGCCTGGCCTTTCCAAGGACAGGACCTACCGCCCCCTGCTATTCTAACATTAGACATTTCATGTGAGGTCTAGGGCAGGTGTCAGGCTCAGGGATTCCTGCCTTCAAGGTCTTAAGCCTGCTCCCACAGCACACAGAGATGAAGACAGAGGACCAAGGCAGGTCCCTAACCAGGCCGAGGCCTCCCTATATGTCTGCTTGCTCCCTGAACTTTAAAGGAATAGCAAGTTTGAGGAGGAGCAGATTCAGCCGCTGAGTAACCAATCCTGACTTTCTAAGTGACTAAGGACACCATGTCTCCAAGATTCAAAAACGCTCAGAATGAGTCAGTTAAAAACACAGGAGCCTCTGCTGACTAAGCGGCCAGGCGAATGAGACGTGGGCAAATCTATCTTTATTGTGACATGAACAGCAGAGGCAAGGAAGGCACAAATCCTCATTCGGCTTATGCTCATGCCCACTCCAGGATGAAGCAGACAGCTGGCAGCACACGTGTAAGGTGAGGCCCCCAGGAGAGAGGAATTAGCCTGCGTGCAGGCCAGGAAGCCAGGTAGCAGGGGGCCCGTGGAGAGAGCCAAGGGGAGTAAGTGTCAAGGGAAGGAAGGAGAAGGTTTTCCTTCATAACATAGACGTTAACCCTGGAAATCCAAACAGAAACACAAAAGGAGGCCACAAAGCGGGTGGGGAAAGGCCAGCTTGAGTGCATCTAGAGCCTGGGGGGTTATCAAAAGATGAAATATGTTTTGGGGCACCCGGGCGGCTCAGTCGGTTGAGCTTCCGACTTCGGCTCGGGTCATGATCTCACGGTCTGTGAGTTCGAGCCCCGCGTCGGGCTCCGTGCTGACCGCTCAGAGCTTGGAGCCTGCTTCGGATTCTGTGTCTCCCTCTCTCTCTGCCCCTTGCCTGCTCATGCTCTGTCTCTCTCTGTCTCCAAAATAAATAAACATAAAAAGCATAAATTTTAAACAGATGAAATATGTTTTCCTTCTTCAATCTGTGGGTGTTTCCAGAAGATCTCGGACTGCGTGGAAGTCTCATTACACGTTCCATAGTACCCAGTTTACTCATCCTATCTTATTTTAACGGCCACTCCTTCGGAGCGCTAAGCCAAGGCCACATTATGACTTTGGAGGACATTTTAGGGACGTGTTGCTATAAAGACAAATAGAATCTTTGACCCTAAAAGTGATTTTAAAAGAAATCCAAACATTTTCACGGACTCCCAAAAGTACTGTGAGCACTAGACTCTGTGCTTTCTGGGCCTCATGGCTCTCTGCAACCATGCTACCTACGTATACGTTCCACTCAACAAATATTTACTGAACACCTACCATACATCAGGCATTTTTAAGGCAGTGAAAAGAAACACAGCTCCTGCCTTCACAGAGTTTATATTTAGAGGGAGACGACAGAAATAAACTAACGAGTAAATATATATCGGATGGTGAAAAGTAATACAAGAAAATTAAATCAGTGTAGAGGGGATATGGAGCCAGGGGGTCGGACTGATATTTTTTGTGGGCTGGATGCATAAAGCCTTACTGATAGGCTGATCAGGTGCCACATGAGCAGAGACCTGAAGGATGGGAGAAAGTGAGCCATGTGGACACCCGAGGAAGAGTGTTTCCGGTCAAGAGAGCAGTCAGTGCAAGGGCCCTGTGGCAACAGCATGCCTGGTGTGGGCAAGAACAGCAAGGAGGACAATGTGGCTGAAATGGAGGGCGTGTGCTAGCAAGAGCGGGAGGCAAGACCATGGAGAGGTAGCAGAGACTAGAGCCCTTCTCTCTGAATGGCCAGGAAGCTGATGGAAGTGTTTTGAGAGAGGAGAGCCATGGTCGGTCTTACTCTGACATGGCACCCAGCCCATGCATCTGTTTATTGTCTCTGTCTTTGAGATTCCATCCTGTAGCATGCATTACCAGTCACTTCATTATGGATTTCCATCTCCTCTACAGAAATCAATGCTTGTCTTCACAGAGTGGCTCAAACCCCACACACTTGTGTCCTACAGGAGACAGGTAGGAATGGAGACGACCTGGCTTCCTTTGGCCAGTCCCTGTTAAACCTGACTGGGTATTTCGCCTATCTTTTCTTCTGTGAAGAGAAACTAGTGGACATTTAAAAAAAAAAATTTTTTTTAACGTTTATTTATTTTGGGGACAGAGAGAGACAGAGCATGAACGGGGGAGGGGGAGAGAGAGAGGGAGACACAGAATCGGAAACAGGCTCCAGGCTCTGAGCCATCAGCCCAGAGCCCGACGCGGGGCTCGAACTCACGGACCGCGAGATCGTGACCTGGCTGAAGTCGGACGCTTAACCGACTGCACCACCCAGGCGCCCCTACTAGTGGACATTTTATACCCTACAGGATGTTTATTTGCTACCACTCAGGAATTTGAGAAAAGAAAGCGGCCTTGAGAAATGTCAACTCTCTTTGCCAAGCCCTTAGCAGAAAAGAGGAAATGAAATGGCTTCTGAGAGGGTTTCAATTGGACCTCAAAGCACCCTAGTGCCCTTATCTTTGCTGGACTTTATCAGTAGGTGACAGCAGCAAATGCACCTCCTTATGTCAAACAGCCACCGAGCCCCCCCCCACCCCGCCCCCCACCAGCCAAAGGTTATTAGCAAAGCCACATGGTAGAAGATTCTATACCAGCAATGCTTGGGGCTTGATATTCCCTGATTAATGACATTCTTGGAGTTTATTTCAGCTTGCTGGCTAAAGAGAACAATAATAGGAAAAGTATTCCCATTACCCACAATAAATATATATTTGCCCAATTTTAATGCAATGCTTTCAAAACATCTGATATCCACTAACACACAAATGGCTGCAGTAGACTGGTTGCAGAAATGGCCTTGCTTGTCCACTCCCTCCTGATTCTGTATCTTTGAAATGTGATTTTACAGATCCTGTCATCAAGAGGTGAAGTGTCTTTCTCCACCCTCGTTTCCGGGCCAGCCCTGTGGCTTGCTTTGGGTAAGGGGATGCGGTAGGAAGAGATATTGTGTCAATTCTCAGACTAAGTCTTAAGAGACTTTATATACTTCCGTCCTCTTTCTTGGAACCCTGCCACCGACGTGCACAAAATCCCAAATAGTCTGCTAGATACCGAGAGACTGCATGGATCAGTCAGGTCTGTCGTTTCAGCTGAGGCACCAAAGAACAAGAACTGTAAGATTAGCCAAAGCCAATTACCCAAGCTGGAGCTAGTAGAGGGGGCCCAGCTGAGACCACCCTAAATGGCCAACCACAGAACTATAAGCGAAATAAGTGGCTATTTAAAGCCCGTAAGTGTTAGGCTATTTTGTTACACAGCAATGCCTAACTGATACAATGACTCACATTACAGTGATGTCACTATGATTTTCTAACGCGATTTATACCCTTCATCCGTACTTTGCCGTCTGAGCCCCAGTCACAGCTTTGCGGAACACTACACACTATGGCAAATCATTCTTCAGTAATTACAAAGGGATGACTTACAAGACCCCTTGAGCATGATGCTTTGGATACTTTCAGTACGTGCTCCCCAATCCATGATCTACTGCTATACAACTTTTCACTAAAAACACGTCACCACCCTCCTGGCACGTGAGGATCGCCCTGTTGGTTCCACACGTTAAGGAGGGAAAGACCACGAGGCAGCCAGTCTGAATTGTCCCTTACCTGCTGCATCCCTCTGGCCTGCTGGACGCAACACTGGAAAGCCACCGGCAAACAGATCTCCCAGGGCTGGGGGTGTGCTTCCGCCTCGAGAATTTGCAGCACCTCCTCCTTCTTTGTTGCCTCCCTTAGAACCTTGGCAGAGAAGAGGCAGGTGGGTGAGGACTTGTGAGCAGAGCTGAGCCGCCGGTTGTCATCCCGGGCCTGTGGTCCAGCACCGCCTGGGGCAGCCTTCCCGTTGGTTCCCCCACCTCCAGCCTTCCCCTTCTAGTGGGCATCATTCCCAAACGCCCTCTGCCCGGATGCCCCGCAGACTCCTGCAGCTCGTGCTGTCTGCTGTTCCCTCTGGACCTAACCACGCAACTGACCATCAGCAGCCGAGTACCCTGAAGAGTGGCCGAAACAAAGGGGCCTAAGCGCTGCCATTCCGTAGGTGCCGGCAGGGGAAACCAGCAGCACCTTTCGAATGAGAACGCTCACACACTGCAGGTGTGGCGCCGGCCCTGTTTTCAACTCGACGCTTGTTGTGGGAGGACCAGACAGAGAAAACCCAGAGATTCAGTTCAGCCAGTAATTTTAACTTCTTGTCCACAGAGTCTGGCCCAGAATGGCGAGCAGGAAGTGAAGGTCTGCAATGATTTGTGCTTCGGCTTTTTCCTTCTCTGTCTCCCTGGCTCTCACTCCCTGAGCCCCCTGCCCTTCCCTGAATCTTTTCTTCTACAGGAGAGAAAGCTCGTGAAACCCTGGGGGACAGGGGTCACTAATTCCAGCCTTCCAGACGTGTGTGATGACCAGCTGCGTACGATGAGAAGACGTTCGGCTGAGGGAAGAGTTCCTAGCAAGAAATGTTCAGAGCCTGCAGCTCACTTGCACAGAGAAATCAGGGCACAGTGCCCACTGGTGGATGAATGGGTTTAGCTTATTCTGAGTATTCATATACATTTACCTATTCACTGGCATGATTAGGAAATGAATGTTCCGATCAAATGGGTTTGTCTGGTAACTGGGCTTAACCAATTAGATAGCGGGTCCAACTGGAAACTAATTTTCATGGCAGCTGCTGAAAATACTCTAAAATAATTTGTCTATCCTTGTGTATTAACACATATAGTTACAGATACTAGATACAATTATACTTTTAGGACTATCCTTGGGAATTACCATCACGTGCGTCACTGAAAACTACATGAAGACATAATAAGAGACGACATTGGTGAATAGTTCCGCATGTATTATTTCAACCTTCAGCAATCTTGATGAAAAAAAGCAAAAAAGCAGGTATGATCATCTTCCCCCATCTTGTAGGTAAACAGACTGAACCTCAGAGAAATCCCCAGATTTGCCGGGTAGCAGAATTAGGCCTCAGCCTGGATCATCTCTACTCTACACATAGAAAGCTGCAGTCATCTGACCCTAGGAGAGAATTCTGAGTACATCTTTCTCCTCGTGAAAACAAAAACGTGGCATATTTTAATGATGACACTTTAATTCTTCTCTCACTGAGTTTGAGGGCTATGAGGATGCAGGGTAGGTGATCTTTAGAGGTTATCTCACGGTCAATAAACGCAAAGTGAAATCGCCAGACAGTGGAATATTAGTCAACAGTAAAGCATTGGCACGTGCTATGGTATGGACGAACTTTGAAAACAGCGTGCTAAGTGAAGGAGCCAGTCACAAAAGGCCACAGAGTGTATGATTCCATTTATAGGAATAGCCCAAAGAGGCAAATCCATAGAGACAGAAAGTGGATTTAGTAGCTGCCAGGGATGGGGGGAGAGGCAGAATGGAAAGTGACTGCTAATGGGTGCAGGGTTTCCTTGTGGAGTGATGAAAACGTTCTGAAACGAGACAGGGGTGATGGCCGCAACCACACTGTGAATGGGTAAATGCCACGGAATTGGACACTCTGGTGCTTAACACGGTGAATTTTATATTATGTGGATTTTGTCACGGTTAAAAAGAAGCTATCCCACCACGTTTTTGTTTGTTTAGCGTTTGAACAGGGGTAGAAGATACACCATGGATCATCTGCCGACCTGGAAAGGAAGCTCCGATTCTCTCACCCACGTGGCCTGTGCATTGAGCAAGTCTGCTATGGCCCAGAGTGGGTGCTGGGTAACTTCCCTGAGCAGGCCAGCGGTGCCTGGCTGAGCCTCCCATGGCCTGCCCTCGCCTCACAGCAGGCCTAGCCCCGCCGCTCACTCACTCTCAATTTGCGGGGCACTGCGGTCATTGATCTGTGTGACTTTCCGTAGGCGAGTTCCCTGCTGGATATCAGCCAACAGAGCGCTCCGACCTTTGGGGTCTGCCTTTCTCAAGCTGGAAGCATCTGTACCCACCTGTAAGGGAATAAGAGGGATCCGATTAGAACCGCACGTAATAACACAATCCGCTGTTTGCTAGTATAACTTCCTGCGTTGGCTCCTTTCTGCCTGCAAACGTCTTTCGATTTGCACAGCTTCTTGGGGCTCTCTTCTCTCTGCTGGATGGGATGCAGCCCAATGCATGGATCGCTGGATAAAATAAGATCTTTAACATTTACTTTGTTGAATCTCGTTGTTTTTTTTGTTTTTTTTTTTTTTAACACTTCCATTTTCGCGTGAGCTGACATGGTAGGGGTCTCCATGGGCTTGTAGAACCAGGGAGCACCAGAAAGAACATATGTAGGCTGGTGGCAAATAAGAGGAGGGGTTGGGTTGTGCTGGAAGATAGAGTCCGGAGGAAACACGGTTAGAAGGTTTATACCATGTGAACCGAGATCTAGCTAAACATTTCTCAAAGCCAGAAATACTTCTTAGCTCTTGCTATTTGGGGGAGGCCATGTGTCTTCAGTGTTTGGCTTAAATAGCACCACTTCAGAGGCCTTTTTTGACCCCCCCCCCAATCTAAGCAAGGCCACCCAGTGTTCTCTCTAAGGGTACCCTATTCCTTTTTCCTCTGCTAACTTCTATCGCCTGACGTAAACTTGTATCTGTCTCTCCTCGCGGAAAATTTCCATCTGTGGTTACGAGTTGAGGGTTCACCACCCCCAGAGGACTCTGTCAGGAAAAAGACCTTGTTGGTTTTGTTCACAAATTATTTCCAGAGGGTATAACAGGACCTGGCCACAGGTAGGCGCAGCGGCTACCAGAAGAATGAATGAGCACGTGAACTAGACCCAGGACGTAGAGTACATTGACCTTGCTTTCAAGGGCATTGTGGGCGTGCCAGGGAGACAGGGCACACATGCATGGAATTAAGCCATGACATCGTAAACATATGATGCAAGTCCCACAGAGAGGAAGGTCACCGAGAGTTCAGAAGTGGCCATATTTGCCAGGCTGCAAAGGAAGGTAAGAGACCTTGAGATGGTCCTCGAAGTAGAGACAGGATTTACAAATCCTTGCTGTAGCCATTTTCTGTTCAGAAAAGGACAATCCAGCTTTGTTGGCTATTTAGTCAGAGACTCTCCAGTGTCACAGACTAAAAACAAAGGCATTTGTGGTTTTAGCTAAAATGTGCTGAGGGTGTATTTTCACTGGCTGCATCTACTGCCCTGGTGATGTATCTTCCATGGGCTTTGAAGGACATAAGCTTCAAAGTTGGGTTCTTGCTGCCCGGAAACATGCTTTTTGAACCCTTGAAGGGCGGGGGCTCATGGACAATAGTCAGTAACAGAGCTGAGCAAGGGGCCCCAGCCCTGATGATACACGTTTTTAGAAAGCATTATTAATGCACACGTACAGCAGGGCATTTCTCACACAACATGCTTTTAAAGTCTATCGATAGAAACCATTAATATCCATAAATCCTTTTAAACTGCCAAGTTTTGAAATCTTTTAGAGTTTCCTCTCATTTTATTTACAAGTAGTTCATGGCAGGAATAAAAGGCCAAGGGAAATATCATGACCCAGTCAAGAGGGTATGAAAACTTTTGTAAAAATCTAGCATCACAATCTCGACATGTATTATTTTCAGAGGTTAGGGAGAGAAAGCGCTTTGGAGCTTTATTCCTAGTTACAAGATAAATAACACAGTGCATTATAATGATAGTCATGGCTCAACTCAGGTGACAGCCTTGGGGACGGCAAGGGTTAGAACGGTGTGTTCTTCTGTTCAAAGAAATAGCTGGACCCGGGAACAAACCTTGTCACTAATAATCCCGCTCTGGGCGAGTGGGTCATCTTATATAATTTTTTTTCCAAATATTTATCTTTGGGAGAGCTCAAGCTGGGGAGGGGCAGAGCGAGGGGGACAGAGGATCTGAAGTGGGCTCTGCCCTGACAAGCTGACAGCAGCTAGCCTGATGTGGGGCTCAAACTCATGAACCATGAGATCGTGACCTGAGCCGAAGTCGGACGCTCAACCAACTGAACCACCCAGGTGCCCCCGATCATCTCATCTAATTTAAACTTGATTTTTTAATTTATCACCAAAATGTATCCTCTACACCCTGATCTTGCCCATCCCAAACTTTTTAGGTGAGGGCTATGAAGAACATTAAGAGCCCTTGGGATAATGACTTTGAGTACCTACTTAGCACAGGCCTCAATATATTCTTGACGATTCCACATGCCAAGATTTTTTGATAAACATTTTCCAAGTCAGCAGGAGGACATGGCGAGTCACATCATGTTTACATGCTGCAGTTCAACTTGTGGGACTAAATGGAACATTCCTTCTTTGACTTCTTGGCTTTCTTTCCTGCTGTACTGTCTACCCTGATGATTTTCCACTAGAGGGCTCTCCCTCCCCTGATATGGATATGGCATCAGTCCGTCCTCTCTGGTGAGGTCCAGAATGAATAACTTCAGGGCTAAGGGGACCATGTAGATTTAGTCTTCATGGGTTTTGCACAAAAGGACATCTAAGGACATATTCATTTGCACACTGAAAACTGTGTTACTCAGTGGCAGTCGTTTCTACGCCATCTGCAATATTTATTAGCAATTCAATCATAATTTGCTTCTTAAAAAACCCTATGAAGTCTTGTTACTGTGGTTACAGGGCACAGAAACAGAAAAGGGAAGATTTCCAAATATTCACTGGTTCTTTTATTCTATGCAAATCCTGGTTATTAGCAACTCACTAAAAATATAATCAACAGAGAGAAAGCCACTCCTGGACACTTGTCCTGTGACAAATATAGCCACCAAACATGTCTCCCTCGCCCCACGTGCATGTGCAAGGGTGCACGTGTGTACACACACACACACACACACACACACACACACATACACACACCCCCAAAACCAAAACATTCCTTCGATGTTTGCTCTTGTCCTTTCTTAACCTTGTTATTGAGTGTGGCAATTTGCTGAGTTCCACATAAACCTTTTGTGGACTCAGTTCCCCAGTAGTGAGCTCCAAATGGAATAGCGTGAACCCCAAAAAGATGCCACGTAGCAGAACAGCAATGCAAATTAGCCCATCCCGAGCCGTGCAAAGGCTGAAGAACCCAAGTGAGCCAGTAAGATCACAAAGAAAAAAACAAAGACAGTTCTGACTAGGCCAAGGTGGTGAAGTGTCTGTCCTCCCCTCTCGATAAATTATAAAAGCTTTTGCATGACCCTTTGTCATCTCAGCAAATGAGTCCATCAGGTTCCAGTGGGGTTTGGGCGGGGGTGGAGGGATGGGGTGGGGGATGGCAGTCCAGCCCAGATCAAAACCTTGAGCTGCATGTCCTGCTGTCTGTCGCTTTGCTGCCATATGCCATTACTGCATCTGTCTGATTCATGCCGATTTCTGTGAGAAACACCAATGAAAAAAACCCCAGCCAGTTAATCCAAATCTGGCAGGCTGTCTATCTCAAGGATGCTCTAAATCCTATCGTATTCGCACAATGTCAGCCTCGCAGTTTCCTAAAGGCACATTCTCCAATGTGGCTGCTAAACCTAAAATTAGTTCTCGGGTGTCCGGGCACACGGCCTGCCCATTACCTCGGCCCTCAGCCCACTCCCGCCTTCTCCAAACTTGGGGGCAGGCAGCTCTCAGCAGCCAGCGTCCTGGGATCCCGTTACCTAACCTGAATCCCCAGGACAGCCAGCACTGCCTCCCACCTGCCATTACCATCTTTATGTGGGAGAACACAGAGAGCCTGGGATCCCAAAGAGAGACACAAAATACTTCCACAGAAAATTAACTGACACAATGTTCCTGACACCCCAAATGTGCCTAAGTCAGGCTGTTCCAGAAGGAGGTGTACTGGGATCCAACAGCAGTAGGTCTCGTTTTCAGAAACCCAAATAGGCAATTAAAATCCACAAGCAAGAAGAATGGACCCTCTAACCTCCTTTACGAAAGCCTGGTTTCCTGAACCACTGCATGCAGACCGTGACTGGTCCCTAGAGGACAGAGGTACCTCGCGCAGGGCTACCTCCTTTAAAGGGAGGGCTAAAACAGCACAGCAGGTCCCAAACGGAGCCACTTGTCCCCAAGAGAGCAGACCAAGACAAAACTGCGGTCTCAGCCCTTCCCGGGAATGTGAACTTTCCCCGGTCGGTCCCGAATTATCCTACCAGCACCCATAAGGTAATTTGTGTGATTGATCCCTGCCCTTCCCTTGGCCCTTTGCTTGCCTGAAACATTCCTTTCCTTTGTTTATGACTTCCCGGTCCCACCCTCTTTCTGCCTTTACTGCTTGGTACGGCTCCGCCCATCTCCTTTCTATTTGCTCTAAGGGATGCTCCCTGATTCCTGAATCGCCGAATAAAGCCAATTAGATCTTTATGTTTGCTCAGTTGGGTTTTGTGTTTTAACAGGCGGGAAAGCAGAATTAAAGGCCCCTTCATTGGGGCTCTAGGTGTATCCGTTCCTAGTCTCAAGCCCTCAGTGAAGGACATGCCCTGCAGTCATCTCCTCCCCAGGATGACTGGCTGCTGCAGGCTGGCAGCTACCTTCTTGCCCAGGGGCCTGGAGGCCATCTCAGACCCTTCCCTTTTCCTCATTCCCAACAGCTACTCAAGTCCCAAGCTCCTACGGATTCTTCCCGAGTGATCGCTCTGGAACCTGGTTCCTTTTCTGCATCCCTGCGGTGCTGACTTAATGCAAGTGATGGCATTCCTCCCAGGCTGCTCCAGAATATACCACTTGGGCATATTGATTATTTTGAATTAAGGGGGCAGAGGAAATCGCCAATGCAAGGACACTGACCGTCCTTTGTTCCCCTGTTCGCAGGAGATAAATTTCCCATGTGAATAGGACCCTCCTTGCACCGGGAGGAAAGGAGGCACCCTTATCGTCATCGATAGGGAATTCAAGGCTGAGAGGGCTGTGTAAACAAACCTTGTTACTTCTTTTCCAATTAACTACCCCAAGCCTAAACTTCCTTG